AGTACAACCGCCATTTGGACCAATCTATAGTTTATTACAAAATGAATTGGCTGAATTTAAGGAATATATTGAAGAAGATTTGTCCAAGAATTTCATACGCCATTCCAAATTATCAACAGGAGCTTCAATCTTAATTATGAAGAAGAAAGATGGCTCATTGCGGATGTATATTGATTATCAAGGACTCAACAAGATCACCATCAAGAATAAATACCTTCTACTTTTGATTTTCGGACTTCTCAATCAACTAAATCAAGCTAAGATCTATACAAAAATAGATCTATAATGAGCATACAATCTAGTACATATTAAAGAAGGAGATAAATAGAAGACTACATTTTGAACTAGATATAGGCATATTGAATACAATGTCATGCTTTTTGGACTTAAAAATGCACCGATAGCTTTTTATCATCTATGAATGATATTTTTCAAGAATTTTTAGATGATTTTATTGTTTGTTATCTAAACGATATCTTGATCTATTCTAAGAATATAGATGAATATAAACTTCATGTTCGTCGTGTGCTACAAAAATTAAGAAATGTGAAACTTTATGCAAAGATAGAAAAGCATGTATTCTACACTACTCAAGTTGACTTCTTAGGATACATCATTTCAAATAATAGACTTATGATGGATCCTAAGAAAGTTCAAATGATTATAGATTGGAAGATTCCAAAAACAATAAGAGATGTCTAATGCTTTTTGAGCTTTGCCAACTATTATCGAATCTTCATCAAAGACTTCTCTCAAGTTACAATTCCACTTATATGTTTGACTTGCAAAGACAAACTTAAGTAGAGCAAAAAAATTGAAGCATCTTTTGAAACTTTGAAGTCAACCTTTATTTATGCACCAATCTTGTATCGTATCAATATTTCTAAGGCATTTTTTATGGAAATAGATGCATCAAACTTTACTTTTGGTGCCGTATTATCAGAAATAGAAATAAATGATAAACTTCACCTAGTAGCTTTTCATTCTAAAAATTTTTCAATAGCCGAGATTAATTATGAAATCCAGAAAAAAAAACTTCTTGCAATCGAGGATTCATTTGAAGAATGGCGTCAATATCTAGAAGGCGCTTCTAATCCAATCACCGTGTATATGGATTATAAGAATCTTAAGTATTTCATGTCAGCATGTGTTTTAAATTGTCGCCAAGCCTGTTGGAGCATGTTTTTATCAAGATTTGATTTTAAGATCACATATCAACCTGGAAAACAACAAGATTTGTCAAACATCCTTTCTAAACATTCTTATCTTGTACCAAAAGAAGGAGATGCATCTTTTAATCAGTAAAGAACAATTCTCTTGAAGCCAAAGTATTTTCATCTTTGAGTAATGAAATCAACACTGACAGTTGATTTGACCCTTGTGAAACAAATCCAATCAAGTATGTCTTCTCATCCTCTTGTTCACAATATCAAGAATCCTTCTTCTAAGTCTCAAGATACTTCTAAGTTTGAGTTCAAAAACAACCTATTCTATTTCAAAGGTCAATTGAATATTCCAAAAGGAGAAGCATGATTACGTGTTCTTCAAGCATGTCGTGACTTTCGAGCAATACGACATTTTAGATACAAGAATATTTTGGAGCTTATATCTAAAGATTTTTGGTGGCCACAAATATAAAAGGGTATGATAGACTTTGTTCAATCATGCGACATTTGTTCAAGATGAAAAACTCCTTGTTGTCGACTTTACGGACTTCTTCAACCATTACTTATTCCAGAACAACCATAGTCTTCTGTTTCTATGGATTTAATCACGGATCTTCTAATCTCAGATTCTTATAATTCTACATTCATGATAGTAGATCGTTTTACTAAGATGGCACATTTTGTACCATGTACAAAATCTATCACAAGTAAAGAAACAACTAAACTCTTTTCTAACAACATCTATCGCTATCATGGATTAACCAAGGATACTATATCTGATAGAGGAACTCAATTTGTATCAAGATTTTGGCGGACTTTTTATAAGATTCTAAAAGTGGATATAAACTATCTTTGGCATTCCATCCTCAAATTCATGGACAAACAGAGCGTATTAATCAAGTCTTGGAACAATATTTAAGATGTACCATTAACTACGAACAAGATGATTGGATAATTCTTTTGTCATTGGCAAACTTTGCTTATAATAACATGACATATTCTTTTACAAAACAAACACCTTTTTTTTTGCCAATTATGGTTATCATCCATGACTTGATACTTTTGACTTTTCAAAAGCTGATAATCTTGCTACGAAAGATTTGGTAAATCATTTGTCAAAGCTACATACAATAATGAAGGTGCAGTTAAAAGAAGCTCAAGAACAACAAAAGATCAAAATAAATGTCTATCGAAAAAAACAACCACCATTCCATATGGGTGACAAGGTACGGTTACTTTATCGTAATATCAAGACCACTTATCCTTGTGACAAGTTGGACTATGATAGGCTTGGACCATTTCTTATTTCTGCACAAATCAATCCAGTTGCATATTGTTTATACCTACCGAAGTCAATGAAAATCCATCTAGTGTTCTATGTGTCTCTTTTTGAACCATACAAGATAGTGGACATACCAAGAAGAAGACAAGCTCTACTTCCTTCTATAGAAGTAGACAATAATAAAGAATTCAAAGTGAAAGAAGTCATAAATTCAAGGCCGCACTGAAATAAATTGGAATATCTTATCCATTGGCACAAATATAATATTAGTGAACGCTCATGGAATCCAGTAAAGAATCTTGTAAATGTAGCAAAGGTGGTGGAGGCTTTTCATCGACAACATCTATTAAAATCAAGATGAAAATCTTTTCTATAAAAGAAACAAGATCTAAGCAAGATAACATTCTACTTTCAATCCTTGTTTGTAGCTTCTTTGTAGTTGTGATGCTACGGAGATAGAAAACTAACAACCAACAGATTCATTTGCTAACCTGCCAGACGAGACATTGGGATTGTCACAACCTTCAAGACAACGCAATTGAGATGAAGAACCTTAAGAGCGACATATTTTTCCTCAAATAGATGGTCAGATACAATGCGTTTGGTATCACAACCTTCAAAGAGACTCTTGATGTTTGGTAATTTTATTAGAAGTAGGAACAACTCCTGATCGTGTTCTAAATATTTTATTTGAAGGAAGTTATGAAGGCCTTAACAATGATCAAATAATAGGGTGGTCTTCCTGCCCTAGTATGGGACACTATTAATGATTGAGAGGCCCTATCAACCATCTTCAAAGAAAACAAAGATCTGAATATGTGGCGAATACAATTTGCCGCATCATAGATTTCTTCAACATATAATGACTGCTCTTCGTGGAACTCATCCCTAGAAGGAGAGATAATGTCATGGATATATACATAAAAGCCAATAATTACCTGCATAAATAGGTAGAAGTAAGTAGAAGTAAGTAAAAATAAATTAATTCTATAATATCTTCTATAAAAGCTTCCTAAAAGCTTCATATACGTTGCTTTGACTTTATAGCTGTTTATAATTGATTTTTTGGATTAGAAAAGTGGTCAACAAGTTGGCCATGTGCCACACATGTTGTTAGCTTAAAGACCAAAGTAACTATATGGCCCACATGTAGAAAAACTTATCTTGTAAGTCAAAGCATGTGTCCTACAAAGTCAACACATATTGGAGGCCCTTTAGAACATCGTCGTGTAGCCCCTAGTTAGATAGTATATATAGAAACAAGAATAAAGCCCTCTTCATTCTTGTCAATTCCTTTCTTGCTTTTAATCTAGTTTCAAGAGTCTCAAGTTTTCTTGTCTTTTGGCAATAAGCCATTCTAGTTTCTTTTTAATATACATACTTTCTTATTTCTATTTTTTTACTCTTTCTTTGACATGGATTTCATTGGATTATGCATCATCTTTTAGTTCATGTCCGTGACAACAACAAAGCTTGATGGTGTTGATATTGTATCCTTTGTTTGTCTTAGTCGTTAAGGTAAGAGTGCTCTTGAAAGTAGGAGGTGGCTATAAGTAATTGGGTTTGTAGGTTGTAATCCACAAGAACTAAAACTTAAAAATGGCATGGAGATATTTCACATTCCATTAAATGTCTTAACTTCTTGTAGTGTTTATGTATTGTTCCTTGTTTAGATTCCAATATATTACAATCTATAAGAATTTTTTACACGAGGCTTTATTTACATTTGTAAACAGTTATTTGTAGTATTGACCTAATTTAACTTTGTTTATCTAAGTGTGATCATTCATATTAATCTATGCTTGTATCTTTGTAGCTAGAGCAAATTAGATAAAATGAGAATTAGGCATCCACTTCACCATTTCAATAAGAAGTAAAATTAGAGTTATATGGAGTAAGGAAAGCAAAGGAGTTCTACAATATCCAAATATATAAGAAGGTAGAAGAAATGGTTGTTTACAATGGAAGGTGAAAGAAAGAGGTTGAGTTCTTTTAAGAATTATTTAAGAGATTGTGGAATGGTTGTGAAGGATATTAGTACAAGATACTGAACTAATTTGCACTTTTCCAAAAGCTATCATAGCAACCACAATTTTTTTCCACTAATGAAACAAAGTTATATATAATTATATTGCATTCAAATGATGAGGTGGTGAAGTATGCCACCATAATCTTAAGCAGATGTGCTCGATTTAACTTATAATCATGATTGTAGGCTAACGTGTCGAGTTTGGGATTGTCATCGTCTTTTATCTTGGAGGATTAGACTGACATCCTTGAAAGAAAAGGCATGTGGGCACTGTGAAGATAATGTGTTGTTGTGAATTGACTCGCATGTTCCCATGTTCGTTTCCACACTTTCACATTGTTAGCGACTCTTCTCGGTTACCCACATATGCTTTCCGAGAACCAAGATATGCACCCTTCTTCTCAGGGCTTATACTGTTAACAATCTTTTTACAATTCCTTTTTCATTTTTTTTTTTCATCTCTTCTTTCTTTCTGTGGGACCACATGTAGATTGTAGCTCACTGTTCATGCAAAGCCCATCAGTTTCCACTCAAAGGAAGGCAACTCCATCAGGTGCATCAGATGCACATGCCAGTTTTGTTCAATCTTCAACTTACTTTGTACAATTAGAAGGAAAACACCACCACAGGTCCACTAAAACACCACAACTTATGTTCTACCACCAACGTGAATTCCACACTCTGTTTTTGCACTCCCATCTGGATTCGTCAAACCCTGCAAAATAACCCCACTTCTCTATTCAGTTCACTGTCAACTACGTGACAATGCAATTGCTATCCCATACACATACCAACCACTTCTAGTCCATGTTCGCGCCGGAAATATGAAGAGTCCTGCGTTCACCTCATTCCAAAGGGGTGCTGTTCTGAAGCGAGCTACTGGATGCTGATTTACAAAAACCAAACATACAATCGTGCACTGTTTCACTTTGGAAAAGGTCAACCACACAGGAGCTGACCTGAAAGCGGCCTGATCGTTCTCCGGCATACTCGAACCACTTCTCACGAGGAACTGGTATCGTGGACTGCACGTCTCCAATGCTCGGAAAGCCTTGGTCGTGGAGAGGATGGTAAGGTAACGAATATTTCGTCAAGTAATCCCAGCAATCCCTGTGTACATGCGTCCTCGAAAAATCAGCTTTCACGTGCTTGTTTTCAGCATCGCATTTCTGACGTCTGATCAATCGCAATCTGATTCCGAGATTCAACCAATACACAACTGTACAAAACTTGAAACACCCAATTTCTTATGATCATGGCAGCATTTATCACTTTCTCAACCCTACCTGAATTCCCAATACGCAAGAGGTTGCACTTTCACCATTTTTCCCTCCTCGAACACCTGCAAGTGCACGTGTCCATTTCATCATAACCATGGAAACGTCACGTCAATTCATGTCAGCAAGTTGTGCCAAATACATTCGATGAAATATTGGATATCAAGTGTCGCCACTAACTAAAAAGCTGGCTTCCAACAGCGACACAAAACTCATGTAAATACTCAGAAATGAACTCACACAAGGAAAAATAATGGATCAGAAGCTCTACTGGAACGTAAGATGAGTGTAAATAACAACTAACAAAAATGTCTCTCAAGGAAAGAGCTTCATTTCACAAACGTTTGCACACCTCAAGATGGGCTCTTTCTGCGCCATGATCACGTCTACGCCCATTGATCATAGCATCTACCTGTGACATGCCCACCAGGAAGACCGACTTTATCAAAAACTCCCGTCAACATACCCCTCCGATCTTCACAATATACTACGCAAATAACAGTTCGCTAGCAATTTTAAGTTCGAACAACCAATGCTCCACGTTCTAAGTTCTTATCATTGCGACTCCAACCACAGCCGGATTCACGAGCTCCAGGATGAGACTTCGACGAGGTATTCTCCGACGGAAACAGGAAAAGTAACACCTTTAAGTTACCTCCAATGTCTTCAGAGCACGGCTGAACGGCTCAACTTTACAGATGCGGTCGTACTCTTCTATGTCCTGCACTTCCCATGAACATCATGAACCATGCAACAGGTTACATTATATTCAAGCCAATTCTCGTTCTGTGGATGCTGAAATAGTGCGTATCAGCAATCAAAACACAAAAGCCAATGAGGTGGATCAACTTACAGTTATGAACAAATCTGAACCAAATTTGGCGTCATAGGCTTCTTTGTTGTTTACATCTGCAGCATGAAACACATGTGCCTTGAATCCATACCGCTCCTGCATGAGACAAAGCGAAGTAAGCATCACTTGTTACTTAAGCACAAACAGTTGCTAAATTTCGCACTGACAGATTACGAATATCACGCACTGAACAGCATTTGGTTCAAGCCTCTTGCTATGCATTGAAGAAAGCCAGTATCATCAAAAGTGCGTACAGGATAAGACACTGGAAATTTTTTTCGTTTAAAATATGGAAAGCAGAAGTGATAACTCAAATATTGGAATATAAAGTTCGTGATTAGCAAATCAGTTTCAGATTTTGTAATCAGAAGATAAACTCAAACTCATGCTTGTAAGACATAGGTCAGCATATTAATTTAGTAAATAGTAACACCTTTATTACGAATGAACACATTTCCAATGTATCAGACTTAGAAGATCAAGAATATTTACCTCCACTTCGCTGAGAAACTTATATGTTTCAGGGAAGAGGTGAAAAGTGTCGATGAAGATTATTTTTACTTTATTATCTGAAAACGCTCCTATCCTGTGAAGAAGATCTAGTATGACCTGGTCACAAGTCATTTAACTCTTGTGAGATACGAAAATACGAAGGTCAGAGCTATTCTTCAAATTCACCTTCTAGAAAATCCCTCAATTGGAAAGATTGATACATCAGCGACTATGCTTCACCCGCATGTGACACGGCCTCGTTCTTGATGCAGGACTACGCCACTGCTCGTTTGATAAGCTATCTACACACGAGAAGGGACTGAAACCTTCGACTCACAATACAACTTCTTCAACAGCATTCCAGATTCTTGAGTCATAGAGAAGCGAGGAAATTCATACCACATCACCTGCGATCAAAGCACATGGAAACGCTGGCTTCTCGAAATTTTCCACAGTCTTCTGCAAGGTTTCTAACGCCTGTGCCTCTAGATGCTGAAGTCGGGCATCCCGAGCTTGTTCGTTACACTTCTTAATGTCAATACTTGAACCCGAGGTGGTAACAGGCACTGCAGATGCTGCAGTCTTTCCTCTTCCACTAGCCCAACCCAAGCAGTAGCTTTGAAAGACAAGGGAGGGAAACGAGGGTTTATGAAAAGCACATTTCCTGCGCAAATTCTTCAAATTATCATCCCAAAATCTACTTAATTTTAAGCCATGTTGACCTCTCTAATTGCTATCAGAAATACGCATGCACAACTGGTTAAGTCACGAAGACAGACGTTGCCATGTTAAAAAGAAATTACATCCCTGCAAACATATTCACTCTCCTCGTTGCTGACTTGAATCACAGGGTGGAACTCGTTAAAAGCATATGCTATTTACTCTAATTCCACTGATGAATCAAGTAATGAAAGTCCTACCGTATAACGATTCCTACGTTGAAAAGGTCGATCATCTGGATGAACCCAAAGACTCGAAATTTGGATTTTTAAGCCCCTCACGGAACCAGACGGGATTCACATAGGAACCTCGATTAATCCAGGCATCCGTAACAGCCGTGAACATTCCAAAACCACCACGGTCACGAAACCATCACCTCAGAGCAACGCAGACGACCACAATCTCCACGCACAACACAAACCTTAAGACCCTAATTCTGAAAGTCCACAGAACAGCTCCAGAAAGCTCTTCTTTCGGCAAACTTCTACAACGAAAGAACAACAGAATCCAAGGAACCTCGAGCCTACAGGAATCCAACATTCCAAATTCTGGGAATTTTACATCGCCGCTATCTCGCCCCCCACAACGAATTCTGCAAGAACTAAGTTCGTGGAGGAGCTACGAACCTGAGCGAAGTGAGGGTGGCCAGGGCAGGCACCAGCGCGGGGCAGTGCGAAGGTACACAGGACGTGGAGGAGCGAAGGTGAGCATCCGCCATAGCCATCGCCATTGCCGTGAAAATGGGAGCAAATGCAGTGAACGTCGAGGACTCCTCCCTTTTCTGCTCACAAATCCGCAACGTGTTTTTATAAGAAGTAATTTGCAGCATCAGCAGAGTGAGGGCTCGCGGTGAAGCGATTAATGGGAATTGCTCAAGAAATATCTTATGGTCTGTGAAGCTCATGGAATGAAAACATCGAGTAGATTATGTAGTGCATGAATCTGCGGTAATCCTATTTGTGAAGGAAACGATTCCTCATTGACTTTCGTGAATGTTATATCATAGGAATTGTTTTATTTACCGTTTTTAATGAGAATTCTATAATTGTTAAAAGAAAGTTTAATTTCATCCACGTTCACTTGACACAAATTTGAAGATATTTGCCGAATTGCGAATGCACAATAACAAACATAGTATGTTTCTTCAATTTTGGTTACGGAAATGGTAAAATAAATTACAGTTATAATAATATAAGCCAATAAAATAAAAGTTTAAGTCCCTTTCACAAAGCATAAAACTAAAGTCATAACCTAGTGTGCAGAGCAGGTATGTGAACAATTCAATATAATGAGACTTCGGTGTGATAAAGAATGGATATGCTTGATTTCAAACATCCTTTCAGTCAAGTTTGAACATCACAAAGAATATGTTATAAATAATGAAGGTTTCTTTTTGAATAACTTGTTATCTTAACTTCGAAGGTAAAACTGAAACAAATACTAACCTGTAAATGCTACTACTGGAAAATATATGCACAGAGAGATCTGTTGAAAATGGAAGCATTTACACTTCATTAAATGAAATATCAACCCCTCCTTTTCCTTCCATTTCTTTCTCATGGTGACTTAATCTGTTTCTAACCTGCAACTACTGATACGCCTCATGATCGACACGTGTGAATTCGTCGACCTTGTGACAACTGAAGCAGCACATGAAAAGTAGGCCAATCCTAAAACACAGTGAATTTACTGCAAGCCCCACAAAGTATATAATTGGCACCGATTTTCACACATTCATTTCTTGATGGGCAGACACGAGCAAAGTTATCAGCTGAAACAGATAAACGTACTATGTATAATATTTAACGGATAGAGACATTGCTCTCCAAGAAGCAAACACTGTACCTCCACAAATACAAATCTGTACCTTTCACTATCTGGAATCTAAAAAAAAGATATACAAGGTAGCAACAACAGCAAACTCCATTTCTGCCAAATCAAGCAGCTGGTGGACATACAAAACTGCAAAGATAGATCCTCAAATCAACCTCCTGCTGAACAGCAACTAAGAAATTCCTAGTCAACTTAATTTTAACCAGTCAAATGCCTTAGTTTCTTCCTTTTGGGGTTCTGTTGAGTGCGCAGGTCCAGCAGGGTTAGAGAAGTCAAACCCATCGTTATAAATTTGTCCAAAAGAACATGTAGAAACTCCGTTGCCTTGAGAACCAGTTCCTACTGGAGGGCCCATTCCTATTCCAAGTGCTTGCATGGTTTCCAGGTTCGCTGCAAGCTGCTGTTGCATCATAAGAGCGCTCATCCCTGCAATTATAGCAGGTCCATGAGCAAACTCTAGTGATGCCATGCTAGGCTGAAAAGTGCCACCAGCCGTTGGAGCCAATAAAGCTGGATAAGTATACATCATTTGTGATGGAAGAGGTCCTCGAACAGACGATGTTACGAATTGACTTGAAGCAATTTGTCCATTTCCAACACTTGGTCTTGAAGTATTTCCGCCACTCAAGGACTGTAACTGACTGATATTGGTACCAATTGCAGAAGGCTTGGAGTCAAGAGAGGATGATAGACCCTGAAACGAATCTATGGAAGCATAATTTACTGTTACAGAAGTTTCAGTCGAGAGACCATCAAATAAATCTACAAGGTTTTCCGCAGGAGGTTGTGCTGTCTTTGCAGTGATTGAATCCTTTACACCGAGACCCTCAAAAAGACCAGTATCCCCAAAGGCTCCACTTGAGGCATCACCGTGAACTGCGTCCACCCTGAGTCCAGAGAAAAGATCATTGTCAAAACTAATGGTACTTGCAGTATTCACACTAAGTTCTGCCAAGTGGTCTCCTTCTCTAGTGGTCTGAGTCGATTGTAGAGCGTTTTCGTTCCAATTGAAAACTCGCAGTAAGTCATCACCAGCTGCTTTTGATGAAGATTCAGTAGGAGCATCAGCTGAGGTTATTTGTTGTTGAGGCAGTGTCCCAGTATTCTGCATCCAAGACTGTTCTATTCAGAAAGATGATATAAAGAGGCAGGCTGACGGCAGTATCCTACAACTGCCGCAAAGACTCCTTTACGGACGGAAGTTTCGTGCGAAAATGTACTCTAACCACTACTGAACAGAGCATATCTAAACAGATTCAACCATCACCTGCACAACATCAGCTCCTTCGGATGCATCCCAACCATCCAGAAGATCAGGCAACACCACAGATTGTTGGGCAGATGATCCAGCTGACGATGAGTATGATGCAGGTGAAATGTGCCCAGGCCCAGTTTGATGCCGACTCTCTGCTGAGTTGCCTCGTCCAAGCAAACCCAGAACCTGCAAGATCACATATCATCACATGCGGTAGAGGGAGATTCTACAAAGAGATGCATCATAACTCCGGACCTAGATATCAAAGACAACCTCATGCGATCAGACCTGACAGAAACAGATGATATACACAGAAACAAAAATAGACAACTCTCAAATCGCATTAAATAGAGAGGGCTACAGATAAAACAAACCTTCTTAGACTTCTCCTTCAAAGAGGCTTGAGGGGATTCTGCATTTTCATCTATACATCCATAATTCTCTTGGAATATCCCACCCATTCTCTGATATACATCATGACTGTCTCCTTGTCGCAAAACGGCTTCCACAATACACATGGCTTTCAAACGCACCTGGTACAAACACCCATCGGTCACGACTACACGACATCACTGCCTTACAATAGCAGCTCAAAAGAGCCACTTCCAGAAATAACGATTTCATACCGGCCTTAAAGTCTGTAAATGTTAACTCCAAAGCTTCTTGCAAAGCAAAACACAGAAGCAACAAGAAGGTCACCTGCCATAAACGTGCTTGCAACTTGCTTAGAAGCGCATAACCAAGTAGGTCTCCATCCAGTTTGGTCGCTGCAGTAAGAAAGTTTTGAACTTCTTCTCGGCTGGGTTGCAGTCGCACACCCCCTGGAGTAGTCACTGCATCGACTAATCGATCTTCTTGAGACATCGGCTTCCCATTATGACATGGACGTCCTCCTTCAGTACCCTCTGTCTTGCTACTACGAGATTCGAAAGTTTCGTGAGAACTCAACGAATATGTCGATGCCTGAGAATCTGAATGGCTGTAAGTACTTTCTCTATCAGTCAAAGAACTTCTCAAGTTGATTCCTCTGTGAGGCGAGTCATGTAATCGCAAACCCATAAGAACGCTGCTTGCAAAACCTGCTCTACATGGCTGTTCTTATAATTCTGATAGCGAGTAACGCATCCATATCACAAGTTCAAGGAAGAAGTCGCAAACAGGGCACTAGAAGTCGTCTATCCGTGGCATCGTTGGACAATTGTGTCGAAATTCTGAATACCTAGTTCGAAAACTCGTTTTCTTCCACTACTCTGATGAAAGGTGAACATTGTAGCTCTACACTTTCGTATCAGTTAGGTTAAAAATGAAAATGACCTTAACATATACAAGAGATGAATATTAATCACCTGTAAGTTTCAGAGTTAGAAACTCCATAGTTACCGATTGTCCCACTGCTGGCTATTCCACTTATCTGTCGAATCGATGAACTCCCAAACCCCATCATATCATCGAACATCGTTTTTTTAACAACACGGATCGATGAGTCGAAATTGGTGCTTCCGAACCCCTCCATGCGCTTACCCACTGCTTCCCCAGGCATTTCATCATTGGATGCAAATATGGCAGATAAGGCATCTTGTGCGGTCTCACGCACAGCTTTGTTCAAAGCATCTCCTTTCAAGGCATCCGGTACTCCTCTGCATAAAATAAGAAGACGATTATTCCAGAGGCATACCTCTCTAAGGATGGTTAAGAACTTCTCGACTTGGAAATAAAGATCTTACATCATGAAGGCGAACTTTATCATTAGATTTGCGTAACCGACAGTTAGAATGTTCACCAAACTCTATCTGTAAATAGACCAGTCTAAAAAAACTTAAAGCATATTATTGGACGACCGACTCGCAAGTAAAAACGATTTCCAACCTGTAATGTAAAAATTGAAGAACAGCTGGAGCCTGTCGTTGAATTTCGCGACGAAACTCTGTGCCTGCTTTACCAGCAGCAAACTTGATGAGTCTCAATGCCTGCACGTACCGATACAAATAGTGATGTGTAAGTGCGACAAAAGAAGAGATTCCGTCTGGATTCAGGAAAATTCAAGTCAAGTATGAACATGACCTATTCAGGACAATTGACTTCATCAAACACAAATATGAGGTCCAGCACAAGTGACTGATACATTCAGCCTACTGTAACATTGCTGATTTAAGCTAATTTGTAACAATCAAATGATCCAATTTTTATGCATTTACATTGTTACTAAAAATGAAATTAAAACAAATATACTTTTACACGCATCTCTTTACTATTCTTATGAAGTCAATTATTTCAACTTATGTTTGTTAGTTTGTTTTGTTTTGTTTGTTTGTTTGTTTGTTTTATTTGTTTTTTTTTTCTCTGTTTCGCTTATCTAAACTATTGAGTATTGTATATCAGTAGTATTTGTGATTTAAGAATACAGCACTGGTCTTGTTTATTTAAGTACCAATATTAGTTGTACGTACTCATTGTTTTTCAAATAACATTTAAATTCACAACCAATATTATATAATTTTTTAAAGTAATTTTCTTGGATTTAAATGAAATACACGTTGAAGAATAATTTTACTACTATATGATGTAATAGTTAGAGTTTGAGATTTGAATGGTTTGTTAAAATTAGAAACTTTTTGCTTCTTACAGTCCTTTCTGTTTATCTTATAATTTTCAAAACCAAGAATTTGATCTAAAAACATTGGTATTTTAAATCCTGTTCTTGTATCACAAGTTTGTATGCACATATATATATATATATATATATATACACACACACATACATTCAGATTAAATTATTGAATTTATTTATCTATATTCCCACATGCATCCATTGATGCATTTGTTACAAAGTTATTAAAATGCAACAAAAAAAAAAAAAAAAAAAAAAAAAGGAAATACTTGCAATATGTATCCTCTAACAATATGGCTATTAGTATTTTATATTTTTTAATTTGCATAAGGCTAAAGCTTACATACATTACATTCAATTCTGGTAAAAAAAATTTATGGATATGGAACCACTTATTACTAGTATTATAGTCTAAACTCCAACTATTATACCCAAGTTTTACAAACATACTTGAGTTGAGATCAAATGGTGATGACACAAGTCCCGGTGCTTGCTTTTATTCATGATGTTTTACTTTACTCTCATCTGGGTCTTCTAATCTTCCAGCTTTATTCTAAACCCTCACACTCATTATATTTTTTGATCCATTGACGATCCACTGTTTTTTACAACAGTTAAATGTTACAAGTCATTAATTTTCCATCTAATGCCAACCCGCCCAAACATTTTTCACCCGGTGACTTTATGCCATATTTTCACAGTGGATGCTCTTTCACAAACTTCAATCCATCTCATTATTGTTTATAACTTCTACATATCCACAGTGTGACACATAGTATCTCGTGCACTAAAAGACACTGAAGTTTTTGTACAGCAGAAACTACGCATATTCTCATATGGTACAAACATAGTAACAACACATTTGTGCAACAGACATGAATGTAATCAAGAAGACACAACTTGTTCTACATATTTTAATGCTGCATTCATTTCACGTCATTTGCTCATTTCACGTCATTACTCCCTTTCGCCACAAAGTAGAGCCTTGAAAAGCAACTGCCTACTTACAACCGATTACATGAAACCACACATTCAGACATCAAGGTCAATCGTTGTTCAAAGCAAAGCGTAAATCCACAAGGAATCATAGAGCTTCAACTTTGAAAAGATTGATTGCATAGAGAACTTGAGAAAATTCAATACCGAGAATCCTCGACAAATGCGTAATGAGGCTAGCTCATTTCGAAGCATTACAATGCATGTTACAATACTAAGAACAGGTCGAAGATCGTTACTGGAACAGCTAGAGTTAAAATTACGATTAGACAGCTTGCTAAAAGTGATTGAACAACTTCTTTAGCGTCAACAAAACATGAAAAAACTTTAATCATACAAACCTACTTGAGCAATTTAAGCTGGTACAAAAGCAGGCATATGATGAAGTGGCAGTCACGACTAGGAATACAGAGACTCCAATAGAACAGAATTCGTTATATTCCTTTTAAGAAAAAAAGAGGTTTCTTCGTAAAACATAAGCATGAAAATCTAGCGATACTGTGAGATCATACCATACAATCTAAGCCTACTGAGGAAAATCCTACCCCGATTACCTGGACTCCAGCTCTACGTCCCATTGAGGAATCGCCTCTTTTTCAATCTCATCTGGATGCCACTCTGGATCCCATTGAGAAGCTCCTAATTCTTTTTCTATTATGTCACGGATAACATTTGTTGATAACAACCCTTCTGTCCGAATGGCAAGCTTCTCTTCATCTGGGCTGATGAACACCATTGTGGGCAGACCTCGGATCTGGAGAAAAAATAATATCAAAAATGTTGAATTTTAAAAACAGGCCAACAATCATTTTGTTCAAAATACAAGTAATGAAAAAATCACATCTCAACTGAACAAGTTGATGAAGCGGTAATAAAAGTACATTAAAAGCAATGGGAAGCTCACCTGCATTTGAGAACAAAACTCGTGCTCTTCATCAGTGTCAATTTTTAAAAACCGAACGTTGTCAGTGTATTCGACTGCTAGCTGCGTTGCAAACACGAGCATTTCAACAACCTCCTTTCAGATATGTACACAATTTTTTCAAATCATACCTTCATAGGGGGATCTTTAGGCCTTAAGAATATGTGGATTGCGGAAGTTGCACATTAGTCATAAAGTTGAAAGTCAAAACACATAAGCCACAGAACACCAATATCGAATGACACACACCATCTAACCTTAAACGACAGTCCTGAACCCCAAATAAGAAAATTAGAACCCGCCAATCAGCACAATGTACACTGTACTCCATTGTAATTTTCATAATCTTCAAATGAGCATGTAAGCCCTTCATAAAATAAAATAAAATAAAATAAAATAAAAGATCTAGTATCCCTAGATCGCGCAACTGTACAATCGGTGGCTAGCAAGGGCAGTACCTGCTCCAATTCCTGAGCTAGGAAAATGCACGGACCACACCAAGTCGCGTAAAAATCAACAACTATAGGTAAATCTCTTTCGTTCGACAGGATTTCATCTAATTCACTTGCGGACACCTTTTTCTGCAGCCGGCCAAGAAAGAGTTATGTTGACACGACAATCAAAAAAAATAAGGGCTTTGATTACGATTCAAACAACAAGTTAGTCGGTAAATTTACGCACATGCTAGCACTCAGACAGTGGAAGAAAAAGGAAGGAGATAATTACCACGAGGTAATCTCCCTTAGCTCCAGCAGCGCGAACAGAAAGTGCAAAACTCTGCGGCCTCACAAAATTTGGGGTGCGTACTTCCAACCGAACCCCATTGAAATTAGAATTCGAAAGACTTTGGCTGCCAGCTTTATAAACTAAATTAGCCCTAGACGGAACTTGATGACGAATGGTTAAAGCAGTCACACGCTGAGGCTGGGGAAGACAGGGAGTGGACGTAAGAGACGCCATGGAAACAGATGCTGCCATTCCAGCCTCGGTTTTCACAGCTCTCACCTACTCGCTTCCTCTTCCTCTCCCACGGTCACTCATTCACTCTGCAGAAACAAAGCACTTTTTGTTTTCAGATGCACCACATTCTCATTCGAGTTGACAACGTCATTGCAGCACCGACTAGTTATTAAGAAGACGCTCTATGAAAAACAACATGCGAATGCAATGAGAACACCCGCTCCTTACACGAATTCCCTTGCGACCCAGTCATACCATCCAAATTAAGTCCAAAAAAACAAAATTCCAACCCGCGCAGTAATTGCAAAACTCAACAACATCCAACTCCACAAAAAACTTCAGAAATCCACTTAACCACACTGACCACTCGACTAGAATTAGAACGCAAGAGAGGAAAACTAATGCTAAGCGCGAAGGAGCTGAATACTACAACGCAAGAGACGGAAGCAGCTTAAACCTCGGCATACCGGACTTGTTTGCTCTCGACAGTGACAGGAGCGGATTTATCTGCGAACAGCACGAAAAAATTATTCCGCACAGAAGTTGAGGCCACCGAGATGATTTGAAGTTGTTAAAAACAGAAGGAAGGGATAGAACAGCAGCGGCAAAAGGCCCGAGGGAAGTGAATCTGGGAGTGAGCAAGCATGGGAACCAACAACAACAAGAGTAGGGTTTGATGAAACATAATCCTCAAGAACGTGACCTCCATCAGTGATCGTCGTCACCACGGCCAAGGGGTGTGCCACGATCATGGGGATTCAGCAAACTTAACTTCTATGGTTTCTATGACCGCAGATTCGTCCCACGCCCGCACCTTCATCCATTCGTGTCTCCATCCATCCGTGTTTTCGTGCATCCATCCACTCCCCAGCTAATGCACTTTACTTTGTTTTGTATTATTAAAAGATGGCATGAGTTGAATTCAAATTTGCTAGAAATGGCTAATTGTTACTTACAATGATGATGAATTCTTGCTTGTAATTACGTTACTTACCCATAAATCTTTCAATATAGTAATTCACGATGTTGTTGATTTCATAGATAATTTCAATTTATACAATTACCAAAAAACATTGTGTTCAAGCACATAGTTTTTAGGTCCAGGTGTATTCACTTTTGAAAAAACAGAGCAACTATTGCAATTTAAGAAGTTTAACAAGTTACTAAATGTACTTTAGATATGAAATTTGACCAATTGCAACCATCCAATTCTTTATAAACAATTTTTCTTTTTTATATAGCATGATAGGCAATTCAGGTATAATTTTACTATTTTAATCATTTTTTTACACTTATTTTTGTCGAGCTTGTCTACAAACACACACACACACATATATATATATATATATATATATATAATGTACAATAAAATGGGTGTATGAGACTAATTTAGGTTAATGAAGGTTATGAAATTCATTGTGATAAACTTGGCTCTACCCCTTCTGAAAACATAATTTATTAATAGTACTATTACGGGCACAAATTTGTGAATGCATGATCTCAAAAGCTTTGTCATTAATCATGTATTGATTAATTCGGGAATTGACATTTTAGCAAACGGCTCTAAATACAGTTTTTAAACATTATGATTACCAACTTTTGTTGTGTGTTTTCCACTTTTGTTAAATACTTATAAAAAAATGCAAGTCAAGTATATGTTTTTATTATTATTTTATATACACATGGAACCATGAATAATGTACATTGCCAAAATTTGATGTCTTGTTAGAGGAACAAATCATAAGCATACATATTGATTGTGATTTTTAATGAATATTTTCAAAATCTCTCCCTATATGTATAAATACATATAAATATTAATATATATGTATCAAAAAAGCCGCTTCAATGATTTCACCTTGTTACCATAGTTCTCAATGAACCAAGGCATTATATCAGGACAAGCATATATTACATTATATACTTATCAAGCACAAGCTTCATTGTGTAAAAGCATCTTTAAAATGTAAGAAAGTAAGAGGTAATCAAGTAAAGTTGAATTATGTCAATTTTGAGCAACAACAAATTACTTATGATGATTTCATAGTCGTGATAGTAATGTAGACCGATTTGGAAAGGGCCATTCACAAAACCTAACAATTATGAACTTCTTTTTGTACACTTTTTATTTTTATCTTTTGCTCTGTCACCTCAACATTCTACCCATTGGAATTTGTGCCCAGCTGGCACTGCCACCTGGACGTATGAATCGTATGACATGGCGCATGCGTGCCATTTGTCATACCTTGGTGCCCCATTTTGACCATGGCACCCCCATACTCCGAATAACGTTTATTATTATTTTTATTTTTAGGCATATTAATTTTTTAATATGATAAACCACTAAAACGATCTGACAATTCCAACAGAAGTTCAAAATTCCATTTACAACAACATATGAGCAGCACGTGAAAATCAAACTGATATTATATTGAATTCAAAGTCACAAAGAATAACTATACTTCAAAGAAATAGTTGAATTGAAAATATGGTATTTTAAAATTCTCACATGGATATTCATTTCACCATTAGTGTGAAACATCTGCATTTAAAGAATACTCAACCTTGTTCTAAATAGAGTTTTTTGAGCACCTCACAGAAATTGCAAAACTATATATATATTAAGAGAGAGAGTTCTTAACTATTAACCTATACTATTTCCAATATGATTCAGATTCAAATATTGAAGTGGTTGATCCATTATTATTTTTTCTTGTAATTAATTTTCAAATAATATTGTCTAATAAGCTAAATGAATACCCAAATTTCATTAACACAAAACACATCATATTAATATCAAAAACCTTGATTATATTATGTACATGTGTATGCCATGTTTTTTATATAATCAATAGATATATGTTTTTGTGTGTGTCCACCATGTTTTTATTTTTTATTTTTAAAGAGAAGTTTAAGATGAATTGCTGTAATCTCCATCCAATGCATGTACTTTCAAATATTGATAATACTCCTCCATTAATTGTTTTAAATTGTTTATTGAGATCTGTTTTTCTATTTTTTATAAAATAAATATTTTTACTAAGTATCCAAGCAACAATGACATCAATATGGATAAATAAATCGAATTAATAAGACTAGAGTCATAAAAATCAAAATATCTTGTGCCACATTTCCTTAAATGTTCTCTCAAAAAGTTCTTAAAATTCCTAACTTTTTCACTTGCTATGTATGTAGCTTACAAGTTGTAAATTATGCTTTTGTCTTCAAACTTATTTTTCAACTGTTTTACATCATTTTATTATTATTATTTAAAAAAACATCATTGTATAAAAATTTATATTCCTATGCAATAAGAAGATAAAAACAACAAAAATGTTGTTAAACATTTATTTATTTATCTAAATATGATACTAACTCCAAATAAAATGCTTTCTTTTGAGCAAAGTATTAAGAACATCTTCATCTTTACCACATCAATCAAGGTTGTCAAAGACTATTCATAAATCTCAAGTTTATGATTGGCATTAGCTATAGTGAAAGCTTGACTAAAAATAAGTGCCTAAGCTATTACATGAAACAAAAACACCAAATTTATTGAGAGCATTAAATGTAGCCAACACTCTCCATAATATTAACTATAGTTTACAATAAATATTGTAGTTACAATGTTTGGAATTTAATGGAGAAAAATTGTTTATCTTCTCTCTTTCTCTTTGTATACAAGAGACAACTACATCAATATATAGATAAAAAAACTTTCTCTCCTTCTATATACTCTTTTATATATATATATATATATATATATATATATATATATATATATGTGCATATATGCACATTACTTCTAGGTATTCTTGTGTCTCTTCAAATATTTTCAACACATTATTAATATGCTCGCTCCTATGCACTAGTCTTGATTCTTAAAAACTTGTGTGCACCTTATTCTTTGCATTGTTTTTTTTTGTTTTTTTGTTTTTTTTGTTTTTTTTATCTACACTACATTGCTTTGTGCTCTACACCTTATTTGATACATTCTATGTCCCGCTTGCCTTCACAACCCTATAATCAAGCTGCTCAGCCTTGTCGCCACTTGCTACATCTTGTTGAAGTGCCGTGCCTTGTTGCCAACTGTGACACCTTATCCAACTATCATGTCCTATTGTTGACTCCCACACCTTACTTATCTGTTGTGCCTTGCTGCCGACTGCCACATCCCTTCCAATTGGTGTGCTTTGCCATCGACTATTGCATCCTACCAAGCTACTATGTATTATTGGTGACTAGTGTGCCTTGTCATCCATTGCTGCTATCCATCTTTGCCGCCATTGTCTGCCACTGCTATCTCCCACTATTGCCACAATCTACCACATACTCTTTTTTTTGTGGAGAAAAAAAAAAAAATCTCTCCACATTTTTAACATTTTTTATTTTAAGTTCAACTTTATCATTTTATTTGGCTTTATATTTCTATGTACATTTTATTCAACTTTTTCTACTTGATCTTATATTATTTTTATTGATTTATTTATAATAAGTGCTTCAACATCTTCAACTACTTCTACTATGGTTCCAACTATCACTATTATATCCCAACATTTTAAAGCTCTTATATTTCTACTATTGGTTGTTAATAGAAAAAATTATCTATTATAGACAAAAATAGAAAAAATAAATTTATTTGTAGAACAATTCTTAGATGCAATTTCGTTTAAAGAATCTCATACTGTAAGTACTTCTATTTCTCTTGCTATTTGTTGGAAAGCACTTCTTTTTCTTTATTGTCATCTTGTACGTCCATTGTAACATCAATATTTAGAAATGGAAGATTCAACCAAGCTTTGGGAGAATCTTAAATCCAAGTTTGATCATCAAAAGACCATTTTCCTTCTACATACATGTCATGATTGAATACATTTATGTATCTTGGATCTTTAAAATTTAAATACTTTTAATGGTAAAATATATCATATTATCTTATAACTACAATTGTATTGATAAAATGTCTTTGAAGAAGAAATGATTGAGAAAACTCTATCTATATATCTTCATCAATTTGCTTTCCTTGCAGAAAAATATAGAAATATGAAATTTCAAAGTCATCCTAATCTCATGTCCTATCTACTTCTTATAGAGAAATAAAATGAGTTACTCTTGCGTAATATGAAAATTCATCTTGTTAAAACCATGGTTCCAAAATCTCATGCATTTAATATTTCAAAGTCTAAGAAATATTTTTACAAACATAAAAAAGATACTCATAAGGACCAATATAATAGGGTATGGATAAGATATTTATATTATTGGCACATAGAGATAGGCACTTGGAGCCATATTTGAGAAGTTTCTAAAAGTTTCTAGAGGTTTTTAAAATTGGGCTAGGTTAGTGGTCTATGTAAGATTCACCATGAAACATTATAAACAAGCTTAGGATGGTTATTTAGGTAGAGTCCACTATTAAAAATATTTTAGAAAGTTCCAAGGTAGTTGAACAAAGTATAAATAAGATTGTCTAAGGCCATTTGGATACTTAATTAGGTATGACTTCAGTTCTTTTTTCTTGATAAAGTTTGATTATGTATTTTTTTGTTTAATTTTATTTTATTCTCTTTTATTTTATTTTACCTTTTAAGTTCTATTTTATTTAATTTTGTTTAATTTTTTTCTAGTCTATGTTGTCTTATGTTGTGATAAAATTTATATTGCTTTGGATTGGAAGGATCTT